GCGCAGAGCGTGCGCCGCGGGGTGCGGAGCTGCTGTGACCCCGGCGCACGTGGCGGGAGGGCGCTGCGCTGGATTCCAGCCCGGGAAAGCAAGAAGAGAAAAAAATAATAATAATGATAATTCTCCTCTTTATCTTGCGTGAACTTGTGCATTTTCAAATCCTGGCTGTCACCTAAAGATAATTTAAATCTAGGTTCATGACTCTAGCCCGCCCTGAGTCCCTATTTTGTCTGCCCGATTTGCCTGATTTACTTTTTTTTTTTTCTTTTTCATTTTAATGTCAATTACTTTAAGGATTTAGGACATGGACTGTCAAAACCTGAGCACTTTCCACCTCAAAATTTTCCGAAACAGCAGTAAAATCCTAACAATATTTGAATACTATTTTAAAATCATCATAGAAACGTTTAAAACCATTGTCTCAGGCCTGACTCACTTTTGAAGATGTCACCGCTTGCACGGGATTTTTTTTTTTTTTTAACAGAAATGTGCGATTTCTTTGTGTTCACCCTGTCATTCTGCATGTGTGAAGTTATTGATGAGTGGCTCAAAGTCCTCATTTTCCCATTCATTCTTTCATCCATTCGCTCATTCCAAAGTGTGGAATGAACCTCTAACCCGCTGGGATTACAAGTGTGTGCCTCCAGATCAGGTCTGGAGGTCTGTCCTTCACCCTTGATTCCTAGCACCGGAAATGATTTGTGGGACAAGGTAGAGGCTTCAAACATTTGCTGGTTGACTTCTAAACACCTACTGGATGCTGCAGCCTACTGGTCGCTGCACTTACAGTGGAAATCAAACTAAAACTGAGGCTATTTTTCTTGTGATCTATTGTGATCTAGCATTTAACATAACCCAGAAGTGTTTTTTTTTTTTTAATTTAATCAGTTATACATGACAGTAGAAAGTTCTTCCATTCATTGTACACAAACGGAGCAGAATTTTTCCGTTCTCTGGTTGTGTATGAAGTAGAGTCTCACCATTCCACCATTCCTTCAATTTTACACATAATTAGGGCAATGAAGTCCCTCTCATTCCAACGCCTTTCCTACTCCCTGCCTTTGCTCCATCCACAAAGTTCCTCCACTCATCCCATGCCCCCCATTATGGATTAGCATCCACTTATCAGAGAAAACATTAGGCCCCTGTTTGTTTGTTTTTTGTTTTTTAATATTTTTTTAGTTGTAGGTGGACACAATGCCTTTATTTTTATGTAGTGCTAAGGATCAATCCTAGGGCCTCACACATGCTAGGTGAGGAGCCCTGCGTAAGAGTCAAGAAACCAGCCCCCTCTGTCATTCTAGTGTGTAAACCTTTTCTGCTTTTTTTTTTTTTAATGGGTACTGGGGATTGAACTCAGGGGCCTTCGGCCACGAAGCCACATCCCCAGCCCTATTTTATATTTTATTTAGAGACATGATACGGTCTCACTTTTGCTGAGGCTGGCTTTGAACTCACCATCCTCCTGCCTCAGCCTCCTGACCCGCTGGGTTTACAGACGTGCACCATCGTGCCTGGTCCTTTCCTGCTTTTAGGATGCATTAAACAACTCAACATGAACAAGTAGAAAGATAACATTTTGAAGCCAAATTCAGTTGGCTCATACCTGTAATCCAAGCAACTCAGGAGACTGAGACAGGAGGATGGATAGTTTGAGGCCAGCCTCAGCAATTTAGTGAGGTTATTAAGCAACTTAGTGAGACCTTATATCCAAATAAAAAATAAAAAGGACTGGGGATGTAGTTCAATGGTAGAGGGCCCCTAAGTTCAATCCCCAATACAAAAAAAAAAAAATAGAAACATAATTTAGGGGACTTTCCAACATTATCTATAGATCAGATAATGTAAACCATGTCAGCCTGTCACCAGATGAGGTCTGAAACTCTTCTCAGCCCTGGCAGAGGTTCTTGACTTACACCACAGAAATGAATTTCAGCGTGTGTCAAAAGAAGCACGTGTAGAGACGATTTATTTGGAAAAGCTAAAGGTACAGCAGGATACACACTCACAGGGAAGGGTAGGGCGGCACTTGAGGGGGAGATGCTTTTGGGGGCCTCAGGCTACTTTTAAAGGAACTCTGGTAAATGGTGAACCTGACACACGTAAGGGGTGGTATCAGGCTAATGAGCTCCATTTCTTTGACTGTGGAGCTCATGGGGTTCTGGGTCTCCAAATCCTCAGGTGCCTGTTACTTAGTGCAGCACTTGGACTGTACCCATACCACGGGGCTTTAACCATACTTCTTCCAGGGCTTGTTTTAATTAATCTAAAAATACATTCTGTAAACCAACAAAATTATATAGGAACCAATCAACTGG